AGTAAATATGCAAAATGTCCAAATAAAATCTCAAAGAAGTGTCTGCTATCAGAATCAGTTGTTCCAGTGCAGGAACTAAAGCTCTATTCAGGCATTTGTTTGCTTGCATGTAAGGCTGAATTCACCTTGGGGACATGGATGCACCTGTAAGCTCCCCAAAGTCCCTCATCTCATGGAAGGATGCTAGATTTGCACGTGATGAATGCAAAGTCTGAAGAGGACTCTGTTAGTGTGTTCAGTTGTCAAGCTTTGTGATCACAGGAGTTGTGCAAAAGCATTCAGTCAGATGCACTTAGAGAGCAATTCATTGCATTGTTTGGGCATCACCAATAGACTATATCAGTATTCAAGCAATAGAAAGTATGTAGAATACTCCTGCACGATACTCCTGCTCCAGCCCTACAGCTTCCATCTCTGGTTTTATCATATTTCTGCACATGGAGAGAGACATGGCTGAAGAAATAGAGCACAAATAACCATGAGGCTCCCTCTATGAATTGGGACCCTTATTTTGCATGATCCCACCTCAAGTGGAGAGCCCATACAGCTAGTGGAGATGGTCCCTATTAAGACTTCTCACCCTCCATGTGCAGGAGGGTAATGGAAGGAATAATGAAAAGAGGCAGAGTTAGAATGCTTCTCCCTCACACCCACATGTAAATATTCTGCACACTTTCTAGTACCTGTACCATATGCTGTTCTACTTGTGTGCTAATGCTGTACACTATTTATGCATTGTCTTTGTCCAAATATGTTGAAGGACATTGAGTTCACTGTGTACAATGTAGCTCATAACACTTGTTATAGATTTATACGTTGAACACTCGAGGTGGATCCCCACCTCCCTTTGCAAATCCGTTTTATTTTCTTATATCATTTACTCATATTGTCTTGCACATTCCCATCTACAGTGTTATGAAAAGAGTAGGTGTTTTATTAAAAAAATCAACTGTGTGGTAACACTGTAAGAAAACTGCAGCATTAAAACTGTATCTATTACTTTATTTTTTTAAAACTTTCCAAACAATTAGGCCATGTGCTCACTCACAGGAAGCAAAATATGCCAAAATGACAGGTGGCACGTCTCAGGCAGCCAATGAGATGAACTGCATAGAAATGCAGGAGAAACTCACTTCGAGTGCTAAAGAAGGAGAACAAACATATTTCACAGTACTGAGTAAATTTCATACATATGCTGAAATCTATTTTGACCATGAAAAAGTATAACTGTACTCACAAAGCATTTAATTCTTTCTAACGTTGGCTACAGGGACTTAGTTGTAGGATATCAGAATGCCTGTTTGAAAAGAACAGTTCCTTCAAGACACACAAAGAAGGATGATGTCTGTGTTGTTAACAGAAGAAAAAAAATTGACCTGTGCAGATCATTATACAGTCTGCTACTGTAAAATAGGGATTCTTTTTGGAATTTGTACGAGTGCTTTTACAGCAGGGCAAAGCATCAATGACTCAGTTTTAAAGCATCAGTCCTATAGCACATGTCTGTGTATCTTCTCATTTCTATTTCATATGAGGCTAAGGATAGTTAATGCAAATCTACACATCTGTGTGGTATCACAATTGTAGTTTGCAGGACACTGATCCCCAAACTTCAGATAATGAAATGAATGATTAGTGAAGTTTATGGTAGTATATGTGGTTTCATACTGTTGATGAAAACTCGGTAGACATTTTCAGTATTCTAAGTGATCCATCAAACTTGTAGCACAGAACAGAGATTCTTGGAACTCTAAATTCACTGAACATTGTTAGAAGCAAATCCCCTTGCCTTTGAAGTTGATTCTTGTAGTGGTTCCTGCCAGAGCATGTACTGTGGCTCTCTATAAAGAGAGGGAAAGGCCACATTGTACCATATGCTGTTCTACTAGCACCCTGCGGACAGCAAGCCAGCATGGAGAAATGTGCAAAATTGAAGGTGTTCCTGTAATAACAAGTAAGAACATCTCCAGCTCTATAAAAGGTGCAATTTTTCCATAAATTGTAGGGCAAAATTGAGTAACCATTACTTATCCTTAGTGTTTTTTCCCCTTAAAAAAAACACCCTCTCACTTTTAAAAGTCCGTTTCATTCATTGTCCTTCTTACTGTTGAATAATACATGAGATAGAGGCAAAGTTTCTCAGGCTAGAAAATACAAAGGCTCTCCTAGCTGAAATGCCAGTTTTAACTGGCCTGACAAGGTCACCAATATAATCAGAATTTCTAAAACTTGCAGCTCCCTTTTATGTTTGTGCTAGCCACCAATTTTGGGTATTGCACAAATTAAATATATGTCTACAAGAATACAGTCCTGTCTGGAGCTGCTTAAGTGCTTTTTTATATATATAATGTCACATTTTCTTTTATCTTATACTTAGGGGAGTATGAAATCTCTTTATTTATAGCTGAAATGGGGACTCTGTATTTCTGCCATTTTTATCTGGTTTTTTCCCCCTCAGCTACATCTGTCTAAATATTCTTCTCATGGAAACAAGGCTTACTTTTAGTAATTCTATTTTCACTTACCTTCTGCTCTTTTGCTTTTAGCCATTCAAGGAAAATTTTACTTTAAAATGAATAATAAGGAATATGTGAGCTAATAGAACCACTACCATCTTGAAAACCCAAGTAACATGCATTCTGTCATTTCCAAGTCTTAGCCAAATTGCTTGGCTAACACTTCTGATTTGTAAGATATTTGAAAGACATGCAACACTCAGTCACACACACACACATCATCATAATTGACTAGTTTTCTTTTTGAGTCTTTCTTGGCACAACAGCAGACCTATGCTACACTTAATGTGTGATTCATTGTCACAAGGAAAGTACTCCACTTCTTTATTTAAATTCAGCATCTGCTCCTTCAAAGCATACTCATTACCGTTAGCACTCCAAAAAATGGAAGAAAACAGGGCAAGGCTCTTACACTGAGCATAAACACGGTTTCCTCCATTTCCTTAAAAAGGGATCCTAGTGTACTCTTCATAACATATTACACTGATTTTTGAAATTCTAGAAGTCAACAGAGAGATGTTATTTTAAGCCTCTCACAGCACAACACTGTATGTTTACTTGGAAGTAAAGCCCCACAGATTTCAATAGGGCTAACTGCCAAGTTAGGCTCCTGCCTCTATGACCTTCTTCTACAGTACAGCAAAACCTGTCACCTTCTTTTGGGCAGAGAATAAAATATAACAGCCCAACAGTACGTGTCAATGTCATTGTGACCTTCCCTTTAAAATATATCTTCTTAATTATTTGGATGCCAACATAAGGGAGAGTAATGTCAAAATTATTTTTTAGAGGTTTCATAATAGCAGATACTTTGGGTAACTTGGTATCATGGAATCAAGATGAAGGACAGCAGTGCCCAACATTAAACCAACAACTCTTGGTTAGACGTTTGTTTATACTTGACACCTTCAACTTAGTTTTGCAACTTTTTTATGTTGTAAGCCACCTAGAGGTGGGGTATAAGTAAGTAAGTAAGTAAGTAAGTAAGTAAGTAAGTAAGTAAGTAAGTAAGTAAGTAAGTAAGTAAGTAAGTAAGTAAGTAAGTAAGTAAGTAAGTAAGTAAGTAAGTAAGTAAGTAAGTGATTCAGACCATTCTGTTGGCTAAATTGTTCTTAGGTCATTGCTTTAGTAAGAAAAAGACTTGCCAGACTTAGGCCACGAAGTCAGCTTTTTTGAGGAAGCAGAAGCTAACCATTTTGTACTTATCTGATCAAGTTTTTGGCACAGACAAAAGAAACGTAGGTATAAATATTTGATGGAATTTGCTACTACAGTGTAGGCTAGTAGCTTTGAAGGGGGGTAGCTTTAAAGGGGGAGGGTGAAACAAATTCATAGAGGATAAAGCTATGAAGGTTACTAGTTATTCTGAGATCCTTCTCACTTCCAGCTACTTCCAGAAATACTAGAGAAGTTTCACTCTTTTTCCTTTACCATTTCCCCACTCTAAGTCATTCTCTAAGTTATTTGCCTCTGAAGTATATTAATAAATTTATATCCGATGCCGCCACTGCTGCTGGGTCCTGGTCCCGTAGGGCCAAGGACTGAGCACAGCCTGCCAGGAAGGAAGAGGCGGTGCACAGGATGACTCTTCCTCTGGGATCAGGGCCCTCTCCGCCCCCATGCCAAGGACCGGGACCCAGCAGCGGCTGTGGCATCGGCCCCACAGAGGGCAGCAAGGAGCCCCGATGAGCAGCCCAAGAGCCAGGCCACCGTCATGGCCACATCTCTCTTATCTGTAAATTCTTGAGCAACCTATATTTCTTTAACTCTTACCAGTCTACCACCTGGGAAATGGTGGTTTTGTGACTGTCCAGGCCCCCATGAGAGAAATGTAATGAAGGGGCAAGTCATCCCCCATAGCCTCCTTTTGCCTATTTTTCTAGTCCTAAAATTTCATAGAGGTATAACATGATTGGTGATAATGTGGCGCTCTACCTTAGAACTTAAGGATTGTAATCCATGCTTTACTGGCACCAAAATCTACCATAGTTCTAGGCAACGGGGGCACTGCATTCAGGTGCTTCGTTTATTAGGAAGCTCCTCCAGCCTTCTACCAGGTCTGTTAAAAGGAACTGGTAGTGATTTATGTAGTAACATCATATGAATCTAACAATGTGTTGGATGCACAGCGGTGATCTCACAAGGCCCAGCAATATTTCATCCAGATGACATATCAATAGGTCTGCTTCTAGTGCTCGTTGACAAGGGAGAGAAGAAAGCATATGGGAATGAAGAGACTGCTCGCAAGGCAATAGGGAAGCTGGGTCAGCAACATGCTGATGAACAGCCACAGATGCTGACCAGCCAGTAGGTACTTCCTTCGACTGCTGCTATCACTGGCCAGCATCCCTTCAGTGCTAGCCAGTATGGTGCTGGTCTCCTCTTTCTGCCTCTGGTGCTCTTTGCCATTTGGTAGAGTTTTGGGTTCTGACTTTGCCCTGGGTTGCCCCAAAACTCACCAGCCATATCAGTGGTATTTATGGGGGAAAAGATTCTCCAGTCTTAACACATGAGAGAGGGACAGAGAAGCTTGAAAGCTGCTGGAACAAGCAGAGAATCAGTGGCATTGTCATGAGACAGTGATGGATACAAAGCATTGATGGCTATGACAGGCTGCTTCCTATCCCGCATTCCAATTAGCAACATCATCTTAGGTCCTTGGCATTTGTACTAAAAAGGCAGCTTAACAACTGATAAAAGTAATCTTCTACTATGCACAAGATCTGTACCAAATTGGTGCATTTATGGTCTTTTGTGTTTTGCAGGAAAGGTTCCATGCCAGAATTTGTTTGATATGGAAATTCTGCTTTTAAAGCAGCCACACAAATGGCGTTTATTAAAAAAAAATCACCCATAAAACGTGTTTTTTTCCTTCTTTTCTTCTGTAGGCATCTTCAGCAATTTTACATGAAAGTCTTGAGTATTTGGCTTCTGCTTTTAAACAGATCTTGTTTAGACTTTCAAACTTTGGAATAAATTTCTGAGAAAACAAATGTTGTTCTTATTAAAAAATAGAAAGGGTGAAGGTTAGAAGGGAGCATGCATTTTAAAAAGTTGCTTGCGCTACCATCATGTGTTCTATATTTTGGCATCAGTTACATGACTGATTTGAAGGAGAAATTCAGCAGCCTGGTCCTGTGATCTTGGATGCTCTTTGGGGACATCTGAGTTGTAGCCCCCCAAAGCAGGTCCCCTGAGGAAAGTGCTCTTTGGCTTCTAGCTAAAGAGCACTTTAGGGGACCTGCTTTGGAGGCTATAACTCAGATGTCCCAAACTTAATCTTTGTCAACTTGGATGGGGTGGGGAAGAGAATTGGCCCAAGAGTTAGTCCATATTTGGCAAATATTGAATTCAGGATGTCTGAGTTATTAGACCATGTACAAATTGCCAACACCAATAATAGTTCATCATTTTGTTTTTCTTTTTTCTGCTGTTTTATTAAATATTAATTATATACATTCACATATACAATTTTATATTTTATGCCACCCTCCCATTCTCATTTCCATGGCAATGTCATATCAAAATTCTTATAAATGTTTTCAGGGAAAATTATAAATATCTTTCAAGTATATTACAAAGACCAATAATTTCTGTATACCTCAGGGAGACCCTTATTATCCATAAACAATAAAAGGATGCCAGTCAGTTGCAAAAGAGTCAGTGTTTTATCCCTTTAGCTATATGCAATTTGGTGGTTAATTTTTCTTGCAGTGCTACCTGCCATACTCTTGAGTAAAGGTAAAGGTTCCCCTTGACATTTTAGTCATCCGTGTTCGACTCCGGGGGGTGATGCTCATCCTCATTTCAAAGCCGTAGAGCCAGCATTTGTCTGAAGACAGTTTCCGTTGTCACGTGGCCAGCACGGCTATACACGGAATGCTGTTTACCTTCCCGCCGAGGTGGTACCTATTTATCTACTTGCATTTACATGCTTTCGAACTGCTAGGTTGGCGAGCAGCTGGGACAAAGCGATGGGAGCGTGGATTCGATCTTACGACTGCTGGTCTTCTGACCCTGCAGCACACATATGGAAGGAGGCGGTCCTTCAGGTATCCAAGGCCCAAGCCGTTTAGGGCTTTATATGTCAAAACAAGCACTTTGAATTGGCCCCGGGCAGCAACTGGTAACTTAAACAGAATCAGCTTGATGTGTTCTCTAGCGGCTCCACCACTCACCAGCTATACAGCTCGATTCTGGACCAGTTGCAGTCGCCGGACCATCTTCAAAGGCAGCCCCACGTAGAGTGCATTGCAATAATATATACAAGGTGTTACCAGTGTGTGTGTAACTGTCATGAGACTCTGCTCGTCCAGGTAGGGCCGTAGTTGGTACAATTTCCACAGCTGTAGATGTTAAACAGCATGGGGGACAGTATCGAGCCCTGCGGAACCCCATGGCATAAATGTCATGAGGTAGAGCAACTGTTTTGTGCCCATCTCTAATCAAGAGCTTTTGGGACACCTAGCATTAAGTCTTCCATAATATGTGTTCAAGGGCATAGAATACACTGGCATAACTGTGAAGTTCCTTATTCTTCTCCACATTTTCAAAAGACTGTATTGGTATGAAATCTCAATTTTCATAGGTGGTTCTGCCAACTTCAGTCCATAGTCAATTAAGTGACTTCCAAATAAACCAGTTCTCTGCATGGCCTGGGACCTAGACTTCTCAGGGGTTCTATCCATTTTAATAGGTGGGTGGTTCTTTCTTCTGGAAAAGATCAGTCTACATCCCAATCCCAAAGAAGGGCAGTGCTAAAGAATGCTCCAACTACCGTACAATTGCACTCATTTCACACGCTAGCAAGGTTATGCTCAAAATCCTACAAGGTAGGCTTCATCAGCATGTGGACCGAGAACTCCCAGAATTATAAGCTGGATTCCGAAGGGGCAGAGGAACTAGAGACCAAATTGCAAACTTGCGCTGGATTATAGAGAAAGCCAGAGAGTTCCAGAAAAACATCTACTTCTGCTTCATTGACTATGCAAAAGCCTTTGACTGTGTGGACCACGGCAAACTATGGCAAGTCCTTAAAGAAATGGAATTGCCTAACCACCTTGTCTATCTCCTGAGAAACCTATATGTGGGACAGGAAGCAACAGTTAGAACTGGATATGGAACAAGTGATTGGTTCAAAGTTGGGAAAGGAGTACGACAAGGCTGTATATTGTCCCCCAGCTTATTTAACTTATATGCAGAATACATCATGCGGAAGGCTGGACTGGAGGAATCCCAAGCCAGAATTAAGATTGCCGGAAGAAATATCAACAACCTCCAATATGCAGATGATACCACTCTGATGGCAGAAAGTGAGGAGGAATTAAAGAACCTTGTAATGAGGGTGAAAGAAGAGATTGCAAAAAACAGCCTGAAACTCAACATCAAAAAACAAACAAAAAACAAACAAACTAAGATCATGGCCACTGGTCCCATCACCTCCTGGGACATTGAAGGGGAAAATATGGAGGCAGTGACAGATTTTACTTTCTTGGGCTCCATGATCACTGCAGATGGAGACAGCAGCCACGAAATTAAAAGCCGCCTGCTTCTTGGGAGGAAAGCGATGACAAACCTAGACAGCATCTTAAAAAGCAGAGACATCACCTTGCCAACAAAAGTCTGAATAGTCAAAGCTATGGTTTTTCCTGTCATGATGTATGGAAGTGAGAGCTGGACCATAAAGAAAGAATTGACCGCCGAAGAATTGATGCCTTTGAATTGTGATGCTGGAGGAGGCTCTTGAGAGTCCCCTGGACTGCAAGGAGAACAAACCTATCAATTCTAAAGGAAATCAAGCCTGAGTGCTCACTGGAAGGACAGATCCTGAAGCTGAGGCTTCAATACTTTGGCCATCTCATGAGAAGACTCCTTGGAAAAGACCTTGATGTTAGGAAAGTGTGACGGCAAGAGGAGAAGGGGACGACAGAAGATGAGATGGCTGGACAGTGTCTGCGAAGCAACCAACATGAAATTGACACAACTCCGGGAGGCAGTGGAAGATAGGAGGGCCTGGCGTGCTCTGGTCCATGGGGTCACGAAGAGTCGGACACGACTAAACGACTAAATGACGATGACAACGACGGTTCTTTGGTTCCATCTGACTGATACAATTTCCTTTTGCAGGTTCCAGTGTTTTTAAAAGTTGTCTTATCATTAGAAATGGGACTTAAAGTTTTTTATACCTCACTGACTCTGAAGCCTAAAAAACTACATTTCTAACTCAGTGGTTGATAAAGAAACAGACACTTTGCCAGAAAGAAATATGGCAAAAATGGCAATAATTTTCACCAAAAAGTTCCTGTGTTTAGAGTACTCAAAAGTGATTTATCATTATTTTCTTCTAGGGGTGCCCTGGGAGAGTGCAGCTTGACCAAGGCTACACAGGGTGACTCCTCTCCTGGGAAGCACAATGGGGAATCGAACTTCCAACATGTGGTTCTGCAGCCAGATACCTAACTCCCAGAGCTATCCAGCCAGCCAATATCCCCTGGCTATACAATACCATTCATATAACAGAAGTGTTGATACCTATGTGAGTTAGGTATCTAGCTGAGGAGCCACAGATTAGGCATTTGATTCCTCACTGTGTTTCCCAGAAGAGGAGTCATCTTATGTAGCCTTAGGCAAGCGTCACTCTCCTAGGGCACCTCTGGGAAAAAGAAAATGGTAGGTCACTTCTGAGTACTTTATAACTAGGAAACACTGAGAAGGGTGGCATAAATTGGAATTGACTTGATGCCACATAATTACATTAATTTGGGCATTTTATCTTGGTGAGTTGAAGAATCTACCCATGAAGTCGTAAAGTCTGGATCCCTACCATGCTTCCCAGGAGGGAGCCAGTCAAGATAATCCAGAACATGTGTCCTGCCACCTTTATCGCCTTGGGAAAGTTGCATTACTCCAGAGCACCACCAGGACGAGGGATTGGTAAATGATCTCTGAGTACTTAATACCTAGAAAACTCAGGGAGGGTTATCATAAGTCAGAACTGACTTGGTAGCACATAATTAATTAAAGGAATACTGTAATCTTGCTCTTACTAAAAGTAACTTATAGTCTAAGGAACTTTACAGATCAATGGCTGAAACCCAATATAAATTGCAACTAGTGTCGGCTCTTTGGATCTGTCAAAATTTACATGGGTGCTGACTCACCAAATCCCCTTTGATTCAATGGGCCTGCTCTCTAGTTGTGATGTACTATTGGATTTCCGTATTTTAGCCATCATTCTTTTTCACAGGATTTCACCCTAACCTTTCCAACTATTTTCGTGTATTTATATTAACATGCTGGGAGCAACATGACCCTTCTCTCTCGGGTATATGATGAACAGATCATTTAGTCAGGGTAAATATCCCTGACTTCACAGAAGTTACTCTGTAGCACAGGCACAGGAAATCTTCAGCATTCTGTTCTGAATGAACTCACATCATGTGTCTCTATTGGCCAAGATGTTAGGGGTGGTTGGAACAGGAGCTCAGCAATAGCTAGAGGACCAAGTGTTTACTAGCCCTGCATTTTAGCCCATTTATGCTCACCTTGCCCCAGTGTTGCCATCTTTGGGTACCAGGTTCAGTGTCTTCTCTAGTCCCAGGTACCTGTTGGATCGTGAATTTTAATTATTGGTCATAGCTGATACATTTTCACCATAGATTTGGGTCCTACTCTGAAAGGAAGTCCTGATATTTATAAATATCTACTACCTATCTACTTACCTATGCAACGGGGAGCCTACTTGCACAGCCTCCTATTTGGACAGAATCTATTTTCATAGAACTTTGCAAATAAATGCTCCTCTTCCATGATTTCATGCCAATCTTACTTGCACAAAACCTTGAAAGTGCCTTATTGATAATGATTACCTGGACATTCGGGCTCCCCGGTATTAACTATGGTTCGGAGGATGAGGGTGTTTGGGTTTCAAAGAGTATTTCTTCCTATCTTTCTGTTTTCTTTTTGCCTTTGTTTTGCCATTAGGTGCAAACCAATCAGCTATAGTTAATACTAATTCAAATCCTGGCTCCAAACCCACTTCAAACGGTGGCTTAGTTGTCAGCAGAAATAAAACCTGATGTATCTTAACTAGATATATAGGTAACTTTGTATCTTAATCAGGTATATGTCTGGCATATAGCTAGCTTTATAGTATATTATTTACACAAATAAAATAAGAGTCACGGCTGCTAAATCAGTCAAGCATTCTTGGCCTAGAAAAGGTTTAGGCCTCGCTGAATACATTTTACGTTATCTGTTGTTTTGCAGGAAGATGACTTGGAATTAAAGACTCAGGTTTTTTGGCTTTCTTTTTTTAAAAAAACTTTCCTTAAGCAGATGATATATTTAATTGTGCCAGAACTTAGTCAAGGGAGAAATTCAAAGGAATAAGAAGGCCATAGGAGCTACTGAGAGGCAAGCTTTGCCGGTACAGATTAAAGGCCTTTACCAATGACTGTTCTGGCATGATAGTGTTGACAGACATGGATGGTCCATCCTCATGCCATGTGTAGAATAGCATTCTGTGTATTGCTGGCAGTACTCTGAAAACTCTTCTCACAGCAGTATGTGCAAAGCCAGTTGGCACTGAGTTCCATTCATGATGTCAGTAGTGTGGCCACGTGTTCTTTTTTTTTTAATGAAATACTGTACAGTTCTTCAATAGAAGACTTGCCACAAACAAGCTCACAAACTTCCTTTTAAAAGAGTCTTCCATTTGAAGGATAATCCAGCCAAAGGTCACTTTAAAGATATGGACAGAGGTTCAGCTGACATAGGTCAAGTGATTAATATATCCTTGTAAAAATGATAAATTATTTTTTAAAAATCTGATTTTGAATTTGTACATATAAATCACACAAGGAGTTTTATCAGTATATCATTTGTGCTCCTTTTTATAGATGCATATCCTCTTTCTGATGATGGGTAAGTGGCCATCCTAGCTGCCAAATTTGCCATAGCTGCTTCAGTCTGGGCACCCATGTCTGTAAATCTGATAATACTGAGAATATGCTATTGTCACATTGACTTTTGTGGACAGAAAACCAAAGACATTTTGCTCAGGAAAGATTGGAATACAGTACCTGTTTGAAGACAGAGAGGATCTACTTTGCATTTTCTTAGGTTGCACACTGCTTTTACATGCAGCAGCTGAAAATATATCAATAGGGTGCAAGTTTAACATTTTGATTTAGTCATGTTTTGCATTTCCATATATATCAAATGACTAACTGAAGTAAATCCAATGCCTGATACTAGAAATTTGATGGGATGTTAGCCATCAATGGGCTCTAAGTTAGTCATTTTACCTAATGCAATTATTTGTACTATTTTACTCATACAGCACCACATAAGTGTTATAGGGCTGGCTACGTAGCTTGGTGAGATGAGTACCTGATTGTTGTGTCAGAGATTGGGAATTTAATCTCTGACTCGACTCCTGTGCCTCCTGGGAGAAGAGCCTTGAGCAAGAGACTTAGTCCCAAGATGTTCCCAGAAGAAGGGAAGAGTAAAACACTTTGGAGTATTCCACACTTAGGAAACCCTGGAAAAGGGTCACCATAAGTCAGAATGGACTTCATGTCCTGTAGTTATTATTAACGGTTGTAGAATAGGAAATGAAACCCCTCCCCCCAAAAAAACAAGTTAAAAAAAAGTAACTGTCGCGCACTCCCACTGACCCCAGTGACCCACAAGTTCACCTTTGGATACGACTTGTACTTTTCCACTTTTTCGCTGCCACCAGAGGATATTATCCTCACTATATCAATCAGAATCTCACACCCTTGCTGCCAAATATAACACGGTTTATTTAAGGATTAATAAGTAAATCACAGAAGGAAAATCATGGATGTTCTATCATCTTTCATTTAATAAACATGGATTTGATCACATGTAAGATTGCTTGTACTCATTTACTTTAATCACGGTCTCAATATATTCTGACTATCAAGGTATTTCTAGTTCCTTTTAACTCTTTAATATTTTCTCACTTACCAACTGTCCCATATCTAGTCTAACCACTTCACCATCTTCTTCCTAACTCTCTCTCTCTCTGTCACCCTCTAACTGCCTCTCTGGCACTCCCAGTTCTGTTGACTCCGCCCCTCCTGTCCTGTCATAGGCTCCTGCACTGGAGCTCTAAAATGACTGACAGGAGTGACGTGTGGGCTGTCCGCCTCAGTAACAACTGCTTTTCTCTGGTTTGGGAGAGCAATTAGAAAATTCCTTTTCTTTGTTTTTATAGAGATGAAGGCACAAGGAGAAACTTGCTTCTCCATAATTAATTATATATGTTGTTACAGGCAGTTGTGTCGCTTCCGACTCAATGGCGACTGAAACAGGGCTTTCAAAGTATGTTGAGATGTTCAAGGAGTGGCTTATTAGGGCTGCCATCCCTGTTAGTCCTCGTCTGATACTCCATCCACTAAACCACACTGGCTCTTGCATACACATCAGAAAGGCACAATCTGGAAACAAGGCTGATGCTCAAGAGAGCTAATTTTAGATGTATGGAAACATCAGCCTTCTATTGAAAATTTAAAGTGACTTAGAACTTGTGGCCGTGACCTCATAATCGGCTGTTTACTGACTGATAATATATTACAGTATCAACATTCACTTCAAGGCCACACACGTGTCTCACTGCAGTATATTGTAGATGTAGCCTTCATGTTAACGGTAGAGGGAGGTACAGCACCATGCATATTGTGCAGATACCCTCACAGCAGGCCAAGGAGGGAAAGTGAGAGTTATTAATCTCAATTAAGACTTGCAATAAAAGCATATAACCAAATGGCAAATATGTGAACAAAACTACATTTGTAGGTCATATTTTTATTGCAGTTTCTATTCTGATCTCAAGCTTTGTTGTTCTTCTGTGCCTCCCAGAATAAGAAACCTAGAGGGAAATACTGTAAGACTGCCTGATAGCTTAGCTTCAGTGCTGGCTTTTTTGTTTGTTTGTTTGTTTTGGAATATTAGGATGGGTGGTGATTTTTTTCCTTTTTCTTGGGAGCAATGAAATAAATGGGAGGGCACTATTTCTTAAATAAATCCACAATTTAGGGAGGAAGCCTAGAATAGCTTCCCATTCTAAGCATCTGTCATTCTGTTTGTCTAGATGCCCTTCTAAAGACAAACTCTTTGAAGTTCAATTGTTTGCTTTTTAAAAATTTATTTATCACTGGTTTAAATTTATCACAGGTCTAAATGTTAGATTGGTGAGAAGCATCATTCTATGCATCTCTTCTTATATATGGGAGATAGTAATCATAAAAACTGGAGCATGCCTAAGGAGTGTTGAAATCTATGGGAAGAGATAAAGCATTGATTTCAATGAGACACATGGATGCTTAATTTTCTAAGATACTTGTCCTTCTTGACAGCACTCATTGCAAAAACACATACTAAACAGCAAGAATATTTAAATGTCTGGGTATGAAATAAAAAGAACAGAAGTCCTATTGAAATAAAAAGCAACAGCCCCACTCGTTAGGCGAGGGTTACACACCCTCTTCTTCTGTTCCACTTTACTCTTTGGATAGACCATAATGTCTTGGATTTTTGAGGAGCAATTCCTGAAATCTCTCATTTAAAAAGTGCACAATGCAGGTAACTGAAAGTAAGCTTTTCTTTAATCAAGGTTTCAGACTCCATCCTCATTCTGTGATTTGGACTGCTGAACAGGCTTTTCAATTCAGAGATTGCCATCAAGGGCTCTTTTGTTGAAAGAAACTGTTTCACACAAATCTATATTTCTTTTCCAGACTCTTAACAGCTTTTTCATTTTCATTTTTGAAAAATATACCTTCATCACTGTTTATCATCTCCTACTTATCACCATTAGAGATATGGAAGACTAAAAGCATAAAGACATAATAAGCCTCATTATAAAGATGCCTAATGTTTTCCCCTAATTTGCAGAGGACAAACAAAATGACTGATTCTCTGTTAAAAATCAAAACCAGCAAAATATGTATATTTATTAAATGGGGAACAAAATACTGCTGCCATTCAAAATCCTATCATATCTACATCACAGTGTAGATTTACTTAGGCAGCAATATGTGACTAGGTACTGAGACGAGTTCTGTTGTAAATGGTCTTCTGGTTGTGGAGTATTGAAGCTTTTGTGCTTTGAATGGGCTCTATTCATAAATGTTCTCAAGTCAGCACATGCATCATGTCACTGTGACTAAAATAATCCTTATAATTTTTAATTTTAGGGAGGACCCAGTAACCATGTAGGAAAGGGACCTCACCATGTAAACAATGAACCAGCCCATCAGTTTATGATCATCCCATTGCCTCTATTGCATTTTCCAACATGCTAGGCATCTGCACTAAGGCTGGGCTACATTTACATTGTGGGAAGACCCAGCAGAAATTGCTGGAGGAAACTAGCCATTTGGGAGTGCTACACTCCAGCGGCAGGTATATCTTCTGGTGTGGTGTCTTCTGTATCTGTTGGGTGGATGTAGAAGGGGTAGCCACGTTATTGTGTGCAAACATTATTGGTAAACACAAAATGGAAATAAACAGTTAAAAACAGCAAAAATGTGATGCCACCTCAAAGATTTATATATTTTTAATGTGAGCTTTTGTGGACAAGTCCACTTCATCAGACATGGGTTATGTCTGATGAAATGGACTTATCCATGAAAGCTCACATTAAAAAAATATAAAAGTTAGTCTTTAGGGTGCCACCATGTTTTTTTCTGTTTTTTTTCCTTTTCCTTTTTCCTTTTTCCTTTTTATTTCTATGTTGGATAGATGACACTCCTGCCCTCCTGTTGCTATTCTATTTTCCACTCTTCCCCACCTCTAAGCTGCAATCTCCAAGAAGTGGAGACACACACAATAAAATAAAATGCACAAAGGATAAAACGGCAGCTACTCCACAGTCATAGAACTGTAGAGTCAGAAGGGAGTAGGGTTATCTAGTCCAGCCACTTGCCAATGCAGTATATCAACAGCTAAAGCATCCTTAAAAGATAGCCATCCAATTTCTGTTTAATACCACCAGAAGCAGAGTCTACCATTTTCCAGGATAATCTGTTTCACTGTTGGACAGCTCTTCCCATCAGTCCACCTCTTCCCCCTCCCTTTACTAGCATGATTTGAGGGAGACAAGTCACTTTAGGATAAGCCTGCATAGTTTTTGCAGTATCCTATTTCGGGAACAGCAGAGATTCCACAACAGAACTGTTTTATATTCCGAAGACCCTGTACCAAGACAACAGATACTGCAGTGATTAATACAGTTGCTGTTAGCCATAAAACCCCAAACTGTCTTGCAAATATTTATGGATTTCTTTTTTCTTCTTTTGCATAATCTATAATAAAATTAATGTTATCCCCTTTTACAAATAATATTGAGCCTTCCTCCCTTCCCCACTGGTTTAGCAGCACTGGTGTGTTCACTTCGGTTCATACTGCTTATCTTGTCCCCATTATGGAAAAGGTACTGGAGGGTTGTTTCTTTTCAGTCTCCCAGCCAGTCCCCCTCCCTGCTGTTTGCAATTATCACAATCCTATCTTTCAAGTCCGTTTTTTTCTCCATCCTTCATCTTTTATGGCTCCCAATTGTTTTTATTACTACTTGAGGGAGAGAAAAAATAAAAATGTAAACCTCTAGGTTGGTTTGCAAGGGCACAAAAACTGCTGTATACATACACAAACATATATCACAACCCAAACATTTTTTTAAAAATCCTCTTATGTAAGGACAAGCCTGAGATCATTAAAAACAATTTGAAAATGTTGCTCCACGTCTTCTCTATTTCTGCACAGAAAAGGGTCAGGAAATGGGCAAGAAAGGCAGAAACGGGATTTGCTCTATGCTCACTGTACACAGAGTATAAGGAAGCATGAAAATATTTCCAATAACTGTACCTTGGTTTTACAAGCATACTGTTTTATGCTATAAGCATAAGTATTAAACTAGTTCAAGAGGAGACTATGTATGGATAATGAATGATATCCAAAGAACCATGTCATCTTCAACGCTCAGCAAAATCCATGGTTGGATAGTTCCTTAGAATTCACGATGTACATGGGCCTCTCAATGCACTCTCTAGCAGAATAAAGGGCTCATAGATTAGGGCAGATTCATCTTGTGTCCTTTTGGAAATGTTCCTATCCCATACTTGTCCAGGTTGATGATGGTATCCGTGCTTTTCCCATTATCTGTGAAGACCCCATTCCTCTGAATGGGGAAATAAAAATAGCAGGGCCAGGTTGTAGATTGAATGATGCAGGTAGGACAGCATCAGGAGAACAGCAGCAGCAATATTTAAAACTGAGCGGCCCAATTTTTATTATTTGTCTTTTTTCCAGCTTCCAGAGAGAGCACCATAATCAGCAACTGTAATGGCCACCATTACAGAGAGAGACAAAAGGCCACAGATGTGTTTGATTTCTTCTTAAAAGGACAATTCAGGTTCCCTGTGCTTCTCCACTTTCTGTGCTTTCTCTCCCCCTGCAATTCGTGCTTCCTAGGTCTGAAATTAATGCACTGGACATTTATGAATATGCAAGAGCAATTGAAGAAACTGTTGCAGCTAATTGGTGAGGTGATGGTTGTATGCCTGTCATTTGCCTGACCATACATGTGATCACGCACCCAGCATGCATCTGGCACATGCCCAGCATCTTATCAAGATTCATAATTATTCTTGCATGTGTGTAAAAAATCAGTAGGATTTTGGTCAATGACTGTGCATTAGGAATAGCATGGAAAGTTCATTTCTAAGCTAAGGAGCACATTCTCCTTTGTATTCCTTAGGCTTCCTCCTCTTTTTGCACTTCTAATCATCATCCATTGGATTTAGCACAAGGGATCCGTGGGGTACTGTTCTGCCCTGGTAATGGCTCCAGGCTCTTTGCTCCATTCCATGGTTGCTCCAGCAATGTACAAATATCAGTGATTCTATTCATTTTTACACATTTGCTGAAAGACAGTACACATCGAAGTATCTATTTGGGAGAAATGAAATTTATTTGTTTTCATATGAAATGGCCAATCTAATGCTGTAGGTTTATTTAGCGAT